AGGTGCCTTGATCTACAGTGGGTAACACTGGGATAGATTCATGGGATTGAGTGCTACCCCTCTAAAGGTGAGTATCCTAGATAAGATATAAGGGACAGAAATAGGCTTGCTGCTTGGTGCCTTCGGCCTTCTGTCTTCTGCCTGCATGAACTGTTCGCCTCTGCAATGCCCTTCTGCCATGCCACCCCACCTTGGAGCCAGCCAATTATGAACCAAACCACTACAAACAGTGAGTCAAATAAACTTTTCCTCCTTTAATTGGTGTGTTGAGTATTTTGTCTCAGCAACAGGAAAAGTAACCAAGACACTCTCCTACCATCAACTGCACACAGGGCTCTTGTGGGGAAATCACTTGGCTCTGAAAGAAAAGAACTCCTGGGCTTCTTCAGTCATTATCTGTCCATGTGCTTTTTCCTCCTCCTTCTTTCCTATGCCCTTTCCTTAATTTCAGACATACATTTTTCAGGCAGTTCTCTTCTTCCTTGCAGTACCCACATTAGTCCCTTCATAAGTATTCTCTCCTTTTATATTTTCCTGAGCCATGTCCATTTTCTTCCTCATAGTGTCCTTCCAAGACCGTGAAGATTATAATTTGTCTCATCTTTTGTCTATCTTGCTTTATTTATTTATCTATTTAGACAGGATCTCACCATGTAGTTCAGGCTTGAGCTGTGTATTCAAGGTTAGCCTTCAACTCACAACAATCTTCTTGCCTCTGCCTCCTGAATGCTGGCATTACAGATGTAAGCCAACATGGTTGGCATATTATGTATTTTAAAGGCAATATTTACCAATTGAGTTGGATTCGTTCTTGTTGTTTTTAAAGCTTACTACGAATACTGGGGGCACTTTGCTCTCTAAGGGTCATGTTAACCATCCTCATCCTCACTGCATCTTCTGGATCAACATCTGTATACTTTCAATATGTCTGGTAAACCCTTTCTAGAAATTCTGAAGAGTCTTCACTTTCCTTCAGTTGAAGTTCTTGTATCTTGTTCAAACCTCTCAGATTAGGTACACCTTCCCTAAGTTTAAGACCTGCCAGAATGTATTGCTTATAATTATTCAATAGTTATTCCTACATTGTTTGTCCCAATCAGGTCCCAATAAAGGATCAGGGTTTCTTGCTGATTTCTCATTGGAGGTACCATGCCCACTCAATGGTTTTGTCTATCTCTAGCCTTCTTCCTTCAGAGGAACTGGCAGCTTCACTGCCCAGGCAGGTAAGTGGGAGGCAAAAATGTAGACAAACAAATCATTCTCCATGGGTCATCTCTAGATGAAAAATTAGAGTTCTTCTGGCTTACCAAGTCAGAGATTGAGAATAGACTAAACCCAGTAATATCTACCAGCTAGTCATCCTTTTTCAAACCTCTGCTTGGATTCTGCCTTAGAAGGTATTGTCCTGCCCTGAAATGGAAAGTTCCCTGACCACACATGAGAGTCTTGTTGGCATTTTTTTTTTTTTTTTTTTTTTTTTTTTTTTTTTTTTTTTTTT